CTTTAGATTCGATTGTAAGGTGTATTTCCTTAACCTTAAAGTTGAGACTCGAATCTCCTTACTCTCATTGTAAATTATTCAAAAAAAAAAAAAAACACCAACAGAGTTCCACAAAAATTTTATTACAAAGCTTATAAATTTTTTGTATAATATTTTTTAACTTTTTAATGCTTTTTTATTTAGTAATTCTCTAGTAAAATCTTTCCTAATAGAATTGTTCTTATATCAAACATGCCATAAAATTTTGAGGTTTTATTGGTTTTTCTTGATTTTTCATTTTTTTATAGTAGATTTTCCATCCATTGGTTGTTGGTACGTGTTGTATTTAATATGTCAACTATATTTCTCAAATTCAAATTAAAATTGCTATTTGTTTATAAATAACAAAACCATCTCTCAACAATTATATATATATAAAATAAAAAATAATTCTCCACAAAAAAGAGAAAAAAATGACTGGCCTTTTTAAAGTTGTATATTAAGACAGAAGGTGCCTGGTTATGACTGCTGGATTTTTTAGGTGTTGAGGAGGCAGCAGGCAATCCTACAGGCAAGAGAAAATGAGTTTTCTTGGATTCCAAACAGTACTTGTAGTTGTAGTGCAGAGTCCTCAGTATTTAGTCTTAACAAAAATCTTTTGGTGAAAAGGGCATATTTATTTGGGGTTGGTATTGTGAAGTCGTTCTCTCATAATATTTTTTGAACGAACCTTTTTAAAGGCTCACTTTTTAATTAATATGTTAAAAATCAAACGTTAATTGAAAATTTTATTTATGTAGGTTATATATATATATTAATTTTTAAATAAATTTAATATTTATATTATTTTATCAAATAGTATTTATCTATTAATATATATTTATTGTTGTGAAATTTTACGTAATTAATAATCTAATTAGATTTTTTAGATTAATTTAAAAATTAACATGTATGATTTATACAAATAAAATTTTTAACTCAATTATTAATTTTTAAAAATATGAATTAGAAATGAATTCTTAGTTAGTTCCTCTAAAAAAATTGAGAAGACAATCTGGAGAATATTTTTTCTTATTTATTTTTGTATTTTTGGTAATTATTGAAATAAATTTATATACTTAAAAAAAATCTTCCTTTGTACTTTTAAATTAAATATAATTAGTCATCCTTTATTCAAGTTGAAATAATTAATAAAAAATTTAAAAATACGTAATCACAAGTCATCATTCAAAATTTCTAATTTAATACCCGTTAGATTCTTGTTAATTTGCTAATTGTAGACCAATTTTTCTAATAACGTTATATTTTTTAATTAATATCAAATTAATTATTAAAAAAAGAGTTAACAAATCTTATTTGATTATTGGTAAAAAAAAATATCATATCATCAAAAAAAATATGTCCAAAATTGTCAAATTAATAAGAGACTAATTATCCGGCATTGAATGAGAAATACAGAAAGATGTACAATTACATAATATATTAAACTTAGTTCATTTGTGAAAAAGGACTAATTTCATTTAACTTCAACTTAAAAGAACGAAGACAAATTTATTTCAGAGGCACCCGAACCTTGAAGTCCACTGACATTAACTAGTCAGTCGATGAATTCCCTCGTTTCTTGGCCGGGTTTGCTTGGCCGGATTTCAAATCCGCTCCTTATCAATATGTTTCAAAAAAAAATTTATTTCAGAGAAAATATAAGGACGCATTTCAATAATACTAAAAATACAGGATAAATAGACACTTTTCGTTAAAATCTTTCTAATGCAACTTAACGTGTGGCTTTAAGGGTGTGTTAAAGAAAAGAGAAGGAGCGCAGGGTAGTAAAAGCAAAAGAAAGAAGAGGTCTTTCTCATGCACAGATCCCTATAGAATGCAGGAGGTATGCCCAGCAATGCTTGCTGGAACTCATTCTTTTTGTTTATTTTAAAGGAATTTGCTTTGTTCTCTTTAGAAATCTTTTCAGGGAGAGAGAAAGAGAGAGGGCATAGATTCAGTAGCAGGAGTTTGGATTTGTTTTAGATGTGCTGTTAGATTTTGGTCCAATCACCTCTGCAACAACAAAACAAAAAACACCCTCCCTTGTTTTTCATTTTCTTTTTTCAAAGAAAATGGATATGGGTGTTAATATGATTAGTTTATTTCTTTCCCAATGATTGAGTTGCCTTGCACCAAGAGAAATTTGCCTAGAATCTCTGCTTGCTGGGAAAGGAGCAACAAACATAGCTAGAAGATGAAACCCATCGGTAATGATGACCAGAACACCAACACCAATAACTGGTTAGGTTTCTCTCTGTCTCCCCATATGAAAATGGAGGTTCCTCAACCTCAAACACAGTCTCCCTCTGTTTCAGCCGCTACCACTGCTGGCGGTGATGGTGGTGGTGGTGGTGGTGTTACCACTGCTGTCCCCTCCAGCTTTTTCCAACCTCCACCTGCCCTTAATTATGGCCTTTTTTATGAAGGGTCAGAAAATAATGGCTTGTATTCTCACTTTCCTGTCATGCCACTCAAATCTGATGGCTCACTTTGTATAATGGAAGCTCTTGGCAGGACACAGCCACAAGGTTAGCCTCATATGTTTACCTGAGTACTTGCTCCTTAGACAAAACTGAGGAAGTGTTTTATTAATTATTATTATTATTATTCTTACATTTCTAGACTCTTCTGTCTTGACTTTCTTGTGAAGCAATGGTTACTACTCCAACGCCAAAACTGGAAGATTTCTTTGCTGGTGCCACCATGGGGACACATCACTATGAAAGCAGTGACAGAGGAGCTATGGCTCTCAGTTTAGACAGCATGTATTACCACCAAAACCCAGACCAGGAACACAACAATCAGAACTGCCTAGACAATTTCCAACACTCATCCAGGCAGCAGATTCAGGCCCAGCAGTATCAATACTTCTCAGGATTTAGAAATCAGGAGATTCTCCTAGGAGATGAAGCTAAAGAAACCCATGTCACAGATTGCAATCTGCAGCTTCCAACGATGGGGGATGATGGGTCACCTGGCGTCAAGAACTGGGTTTCCAGGAACTTCCCAAGTGAGCATGCAATGCAACAGAAGATGATTGGGTGCATGGGTGATAATAGAGATGAATCTGGGTCTATTGGAGCAATAGCTTATGGGGATTTACAGTCCTTGAGCTTATCCATGAGCCCTGGCTCCCAATCAAGCTGTGTAACTGGTTCACAACAAATCTCTACTGTCACTGATTGTGGAGTCATGGAGACAAAGAAAAGAGGGCCTGAGAAGATGGATCAGAAACAGATTGTTCATAGGAAGTCCATTGATACTTTTGGTCAGAGAACCTCTCAATATAGAGGCGTTACAAGGTTCGTTTTCCCTCCTTTGCTGTGCTGAAACCATGCATGTTAAGTCCTGAAAAGGTTTTCTTTCTTCACCAATTTAGTTCTTACCCTGCTGTTTCTCGTATTTTTAATGTCCCCAATCTCTGTTGTCCCCTTTGTTGTTTTTAAGCTTCTCAATTTTCTCTAAATTTCTGATTTTTAAAGGTGTAATTTTGATAATCAGGCATAGGTGGACTGGAAGATATGAAGCACATTTATGGGACAACAGTTGCAAGAAAGAAGGTCAAAGCAGGAAAGGAAGACAAGGTAAGTGTAGAAAAGGCAATTTGATTCTTCTTAAGTTTTGGTTCTAGAGCTTAATTATACAGAACATGTTACTCATATAGTTTTGTGTTTTTCTCGCATGTTGGGGATGTTATTTTGATGACATGATGGTTCAGTTTATCTGGGTAAGTCCTTATTGAAGAATGTAACATAAAAGAGAAACTATCATTGCAGATACTACTGTATGTGTTTATTATCAACTCATTCCAAAATTTAATTTTCAGGGGGTTATGACATGGAAGAGAAAGCAGCAAGAGCTTATGATTTAGCTGCACTCAAGTACTGGGGACCCTCAACTCATATCAATTTTCCGGTAATGCTCCAATCCTCCAGCCTGCAGGAAATCCTAAATTTGTTGTTACTGAAATAAAATTATGACGTTTTGACAGTTGGAAAATTACCAAAAAGAACTTGAAGAAATGAAGAACATGACAAGACAGGAGTACGTTGCTCACTTGAGAAGGTGAATCTTCGCCTCAGTTCATTCCATTATGGTGCATTTTCTTTCACCATGATTTCTAGTAATTTTCTTAATTATTTTCCAACTTTGCAGGAAAAGCAGTGGATTCTCAAGGGGGGCCTCAATGTATAGAGGAGTGACAAGGTCTTGTTATCTTCCCTTCTATATTTGTAGATTACGTGACATTTTTCCAGTTCTTATTCTCTTAAAATCTTTGTTTCTGTTTTAAATTGTTAGCAGACACCATCAACATGGAAGATGGCAAGCTCGGATTGGTAGAGTTGCTGGAAACAAGGACCTTTATCTGGGGACGTTTAGTGAGTTCTCTTGAATCATTAGGTTTCCTTTGTATCATATTCTTTAATTTAATCATGTGTTTGTATTCAAGATTTTTTTACTGGCGTTAGACTGTTATTGTTGACTCTGAAAAGTCAGTTTTGGAGCACTTACATAAGCTTTTATAAAGCTGTTTCTCCACAAACTGATATGAAAAGAAAATTTGAACTCAGCGCTTGGATTAAATTTAATAAAGTTTTATTCCTTTTCTCACTGAACTGAACTTCAGGCACTCAAGAGGAAGCAGCAGAAGCTTATGACATAGCGGCTATAAAATTTCGTGGGATAAATGCTGTAACCAACTTTGACATAACAAGGTATGATGTGGAACGAATCATGGCGAGCAATACCCTTCTAGCTGGAGAACTTGCCAGGCGAAACAAGGACGTAGGACCTGGCAATAAGGCAACTAATCACAATTCCTTAACCGATAACAGCAATGGGGAAACCATAATCTCTCCAAAGAACAATGAAGGTGAACCAGACTGGAAAATAGTCCTCTACCAGTCCTCCCCGCAACTTGAGCAGGAACAGCCAAATATTGTTGAAAACTACAAGACTCAGCCTTTCTCATTGGCACCAAACAATGTGGTTGGCATTGATACAATCAACTCAGCACAGCTGGAGGTGGAAGACTCAGCTAAAATGGGCACTCACTTGTCCAATGCTTCATCACTAGTGACTAGCCTGAGCAGCTCAAGAGAAGGCAGTCCTGATAGAACCAGCCTACCAATGCTATTTTCCATGCCTCCCCCAGCAGCATCCAAGCTGTTCACTAGCCCAGAAAGTACTGTGAATTCTTGGATTCCTTCTACCCAGCTTAGGCCTGCACTGTCCATGCCTCATATGCCAGTTTTTGCTGCATGGACAGATGCATAGTCTCACTGCTTTGGTATAGTAGCTGAAAGGTTTTATTAATTTGCATGGAACAAAATGGAGGGAAAGGGACATGTATGGTCTTTGTGGGGTTTTGTTAGTGGGGAAAATCAAGTAGTTAGTGGAGCTCTATGTGGGACCTGTCCTGTTGTCAACAAGAACAAATTTTAAAATCTTCCTTTTAGCATCTCTTATGAGGATCTTGAAAGAAATGGTGGATATGGAGAAGCTTTAAAGACATCATGATTGAACTCCATGAAATGATTTTTGCAATATGGTATGCCTCCTATTCATAATTAGATACAGCTTTTGCTCCTCTAAAGTACAGAGACCCAACTCAGTAAGCTACCCAATAATGCAAAGATGGTCTTCTCCTTTCCTTTGACCATAATATCTCTGATCTCAAGCTCCAGTCTGTTCTCCATCACCATAACAACATCATTACCAATTCCCCGTCTTATCTAGCTTTCTCCAAAGGTAAAAGAAGGGAAGTGGGCATGGACATTGATTTGGTTGCTTTAGTTTGAGTCAAGGGCGCATAATTATTATGAAAATTAGTCCGCAATTCCGTGGAAAGTTAAAATAAACCTTAAAGTAGTTCCTTTCTAAGCCCACTAACAGTGCAAGCCTAATGATGCTGGATGGCATCGAAAGCCATTTCCACGTACAAATGTGGGATTCCATGACCAGTCAAAGGTATCACCATGTGTTTTCACACGTGTGGATTGATTTCTTTCCACGTGCGCAAACCCGTGCCAAAAACAGTTCTTGCATCCTTAATCTAATCCAACACCTATCACAATTAATGTTGTGTACAATGTAGCAGCTAAAATATGCAAAGAGAGGGTACAATTAATTGTCAAGAGGAGAAGATGCTCTCATGAATCATGAGGGGAGAATAGAGGCTGCATATTTCCAGCTGAAAAGAATTAGGCCGTAAGAGAACTGAACACACGTTTTACTTGAGATTAAAGAGAAGTGATCAGGCACTCTTATTTTGACAATTATAACACAATTCCTGGTCTGGAACAGCAATTATGCTGTTGGATTGGTGAACGTTCTGGATTTGGATGCTTTAATTCAGATTGGATGTGTCTGGATGACATGCACAACGAAAACAAAGGAAAATAAAACAAGATCCATTGGAGGGGAAAATGCAGGATACAGAGAGAATGGATGGCTATTGTCAAAAGGGATGTCTGCTCTTTTATTGGCGAAGGGTGAAAATATTTGTTTGGGCGGAAAGAAAGTTAGGATCTTGTTGATTTGGGCCTTTAACTTTTGGGACAAGGACAACAGCTGTAAGCCTTAAAGGCCGAAAAAAATAGCCCTGAGTCTTAAAAGATATGGATCTAATATTACTACTCGAAGTCGGAGAAAAATAAGACGTTATAATATTACAAATATTGAAATGTTTAATTATAATTATAAAATAAATAAAATATAATGTAAAATTTATTAATTATGTGGTTAGAATTATTCATCTTAATATTTTTAATACTTGATAGTTTTGATTTTTCTTTCTTTCTTAAATTTTTTTTTGATATTATTCTCTTTGTTTTGTAATAAATAATTATGTTTTTAATTTTTTTTATTAAATTAAGAATTTAGAAATAAACTATGTTTTTATCAATATTAACCTTGAAGAAAGAGATATTGTATGTAACTCAAATTATGTATGAAAAAATAAATGACTTTTGTTGTATCGGAATCTAATATAGGTTTTACTATTTGGGTTAAGTCCATGAAAACCTGTTCTAGTCTGAGAATCTTACTAAATATTTCGAGTAACTACCTTATTTAGACAATACTTTTTTTTTTTTGAACATTTTGTCATGAGATCGATTTGAATTGTTACCCTTGAAGAGAGAGGATGAACCTTATAAGAGGGGATGAACTTTATAAGAGTGACCAAAGCTACTTGACCCGCAGGAATAAATTCCATTTAAACAATACTTTAAAAATGAACAAGTGGTATATACTCATTAAAGGATTAGAACCTACATACAACCTAAAGAGATCACATGAAAGTAGTTATCAGATGTTCCCTCCATTCATTCTTTCCCATCATTTACACCACACTCATCTCTCCTCTTTCAAATTCATCTTCTTCCTTTAAGTCTCCCCTCACACACAACAATAATTTCTGACCACGAATCTATATCTTACATTAAGAGTATCAAGCCAAAGACTAACTCCCGTCTTTGGCTAAACTATTAGCCTTTCTATCTTGCAGGGGTCGAGTGACCACCCTTGCGCAGCCTTCTGTTCGGATTCTTCGGAATCCTAGCTAGTAGCTACTATTTTCTAGTGTTTACAGCTTCCAAAACCAAAATTATGAGTCCTTGTATCCAAGGGTAGTGGTTCAGGTGGCATAAATATCTAAAGCACTCCCAATAGATGGCCCAGATGGGACGTTGGTGTCGGATCCCTGTAAACAAAAATTAATAATAATAATAAAATAAATAAATAAATAAATAATCCTCGTAGGTAAAAGGAAAAATACCTATGGGCCAGGCTAGCAGATGTAGTGAGCCATAAGTCTTATGGTCATAGCGAAATCAACTATTGGGCTCTCAGTCGGACTCCCTTATTGGATCCATCTGGGTCCACTGGATCCCGAACAGGGGTTTTTAAGAACAGCTGTATGGTTTACCCAAAAAGCAACAACAATAAAACCCGAACAGCTGCATGGTACGGTTAAATTTCTAAGAACCCAACAAAATTTCCTTGGAACTAAACATCGAGAATCACCCTTCTCTCCTTTTTTTTGAACATGGGAAACTATGAGCAATGGGGTAATTTTTGAAGTAGTTAGTGGGAGTCAAATTTTTTACTAACTAAATTCAAATATTAAAATCTGAAAACAAACCATTAAACTTAAAGGTTCGAATCGAATAATTACCCTTATCATTCTTACATTAAGATTGCAAAGTACAAGGCTTTGTTTAAGGCTATATTTGATTTTACTATTAGGGACAATTGATAGTTGTAACTATTGGTTAATATAACTAATAGAATAATTAATCTTTATTACTCAACAGTTTAAAATCCATCTACAAATTAATATTTTTAAAGTTATACCCAAACTCTACCTTTTTCAAATCATCTTCCCCTTGTTTCAAATTAAGTTGAAATATGCAATTTTCAATGTGAAATTCCAAATTATTATCAATGGAAAGATACTCTAGGGGTTTTAAATACATAAGTTGTGTCGAAAAGGAAAAAGATAATAATCTAGGTGCTAAAAAACGTTGAACATATTATCCTTTTATTTATGACTGTATTGTCCCCACGCCAACGACAATCACAAAGAAGGTTAAGTCCTTTTAGACATTCTTTTTTCATACATTATTTCGGGAAAGAAAATGAAGGTTATTATTTATGTTTCAATATAGTCTGCATATGACCATCCCAATACTAAAGTTATGTCCAGCGTAATCCCACCACAAGTCCAATTCAACGACGCTATTGATTTTGAAAGCTTACATCAACCACAACGTGTGTTGTCCCACCATATTACCCTCTTCAAAACGTAGGGATGTATTGTTGCCTTGGGGTCCATCTCATCAGCGTTGGGCCTCATCATACCTAAAGTTGACTCAAACAGTCGAAACATTAGACGGCAAACCCATCCCAAAATCCAACACAGTAAAGTTGATGGCAAATCCTCACTCGCCCAGGAAGGTTCCAATTGACTACCCTCCACAAAATTGTAATAGATGAGAGAGATTGAGGAGAGAGATTAAACTTAGTTGATGGGATTAGATGATACGTACTGTTATCAAGCAATCTATAAAATCAGATGTGTGTACATATATATATACATATGGGGTAAAATTGACTTTCATTAATTTAATTTAGATTTGTAAATGATTGTGATTTAATTAGTAACATAAATAGTGGGTAATATGCGGTGACCTAAGATTCTTTAACAAAATTATTGACATTATTTTAACGAAGGCGGTGATTAATTACCTGACTATTGATTAGATTCTTCGTTAGAGTAAAATAATAACAATAGCAACAATGATAATCTTCAACATCATGTTAACAACCCTTTCAAAGCAATCGTGCGGTACCTAAATAAGTACAAAAGAGAAAGTATATATTAATCCAGGTACTTATTCTTCACCCATTGAATGTCAACCAACATGTGCGTGTCGCAATTGGCATCTTGGTTTCTTTTCCTCGGTCTTTGTCAAACATAATAAAGAAATGTGAATTTGTTATGCATGGTATCCACCTACAGAGGTTTGGGTTGAAGTGACAATAGTTTGGATCAATTGTCAAAGGGGATGTTTTGGTGTTGGGATGAAAAGAGAGATGGGGAAGAAGAGAAAGGCAGAGCAACTCAGAATTTAGGCTTTGAAAGCACCATTTACACCACAGGAAAATTAATGGGGATACTTTTTCTGCTTGAGATTTTTCATTTTCGATTGGATTTGGAGGAGTAAGATCCCTGTTTTGGAGCATAGAATTATTAGAATGTACCCCAACACCAGCAGAATGTTGGTTTGTAAGAATTCATTTGGGTCCCCTGTTTGACAGCTTAGGGAACCTTTTGTTATGGGACATCCCTACGAAAATGAAACCCAACTAAATTATGTCCAGCTAGTTCGTTTACGATTAAACCAAAAGCAGTTAGAAAGTATCAAGAGGGCTTAGGACATAAATTAACATAAATTACGAGCATATTTATTTATATAAAATATTTTAATGAAATAATTAATAAAATTAAAATTAAGTTTTATTATATTTATAATTTAATAATCAAAAAGTATATTAATTATTTTTTTAAAACACGTTAAAAAAATCATTTTACTATTAACATTTAAATACATAACATATATAGTTAAGTACTCAAGTTTTTTCAAATTAAGTGAAGATAGAACGGTCCGCTTCAACCCAGTGGTATTGAACCTTAGATTAAGATTATTCACCTCCAATAAGTTGCACGTTCGAGTTTCACGAAATTTCTTTCTCTCCTCCTCTAATTAACCCTATAAATAATTATAAATTGTTTTTAAAAAAATTTAAGTAGAAATAAAATACACTTTTCGTAGTTTGGAATTAAACACGCACACTTGAAACTATATAAGGTTAAGTACAATTTCCCCTAAAGTTTATTGAAGGTTCAGTTCCCTCAAAAAAAAAAAAAAAACAATAAAAGCCAGTGCAGTGCATGGTTTTTGACTTTTTGTTCGATATTTATGTGTTACACCGATAAAATACAATTGCAGTTCTACCATAAATTGAGGAAGAATACTTTTCTTACACACTTCGTCTCTCTTTATTGGCCAATATGTTTTTTTTTTTTAGTTATTTGTGTAATAGTAATTATGGATAAGGGTTTCAGTAGCCTTATGATTTAGGTCTCAAAAATATGTGAAAAATTGCATAATGAAACCTTGATATAGAGGTAAGCCAAGCTCAGGTTAAAATTTTAAATTCCTTAATAGTTAAATGACTAACTTTTTTTCACTTAGTCTTTCGAGCTAATTGACATCTTATCAACTTTAGGTACATTCTCCTTTCTCCATTGACAGATTTCGAGTTCGTCCTGACAACTTGTTAAAAAAAAAGAATGACTAACTTCCTTAGGATATAGAAAAATTAAAGGCCGTAGTGTTTGGTTAAGGGAGGAAACTTCCCTCCCTACTCTGATTTTTTAGGATTGTTTTGATATTTTAAACATCAATATTATAACAAAATAAGGATAAAATTGATATTTTTAGTAAATATTTTCTATTCACTCCATTTATTTTTAATAGAATTAATTTCCTATTTAAGGTATTCAAATTTAATTGTTTGCTTTTTTTCTTTTAGGGTGTTATTTAATATGTTCATTTTTATTTTATTTTTATTTTAAAAAAATAATTCAACATATATTAAATAAAAAATTTTATTTAAGTAATACTTAATTAAAAATAAATATAAAATTTTATTAATAAATTATTATATTTTTATTTTATTAAAAAATTATGTTTACTAAAAATAAATTAGTAGAGTGTTACATAATTTCTTATAAGTAAATTCTTTTTCATATACTTTTAAAATAAAAGACTGTCCCACAACTTTTCCACCATGCGACCTAGTTGGCTACTTTCAACAAACTTTTCTTATATTAATTTTTTACCAAATGCAAAGAGTAAACAACACCAACAAAAGCACCTAGGTCTTGTGGCTGGATAGCTTTAGATTCGATTGTAAGGTGTATTTCCTTAACCTTAAAGTTGAGACTCGAATCTCCTTACTCTCATTGTAAATTATTCAA